AGCGTGGCAAATCAGGAATTTGACCACTTGCAAACTACAAACTAGGCACCCCATAAATTTGAGCCTCGAGTGCGACGAAATATTCCGCACCATGGTTATTATCATGTCACAACAAATGCGTACTCGAAGGATTGTGCACGGAGCAGGATCGTTTTCACAAGACGATTGTTTTCAAAAATGTTTTCAAAAATGTTGTCCCACTCTCATGGATAGCGATAGGAAAATTTTCGAAACCTTCCTCCATACTTCCTGACTGTACTTGGAACACTGCTCCGCTCTTTGTAGCGTCTCCTTTGAAAATTCAAGGCTCAATAAAAGGGAAGATTAGTTCAGTCATAAAAGTTCAGTTGTAAGAATCAGTCCGTAAAAGGTTCATTGTATTATAATTCACAGTAAGAAAAATATCGTAAAAGTAATCATAATCGTCGATTAGTCGGTTAGTTAAATAAGTAAACATAATAAATCATAAATTTAGCATGATCCATTCATTTTCCACATCAGTGGGTAGTCCTTCGAACCTCAATATCCTTGAGGTACATACTCAGAGGTATATAATTGACACCAATCGTGTTCTTACCCCTTCCCGTGCCATTTAGCTCGACGAAACTTGGGCCCAAATGTTAGGCGTCGACGCGTGGTAATCAAGCCAGACCGATGCTCGAGAAAAGTCACGATACGTGCCGAAATGTAAATGCCTGTGATATAGTCAGTTTTGCGCGATACTGCTGTTGTAGAAGTAAACTCTAATCCTTCTTCCTTTTGTAGATATTACAGATATATTATATTTTGTAACAGATGACAGTTTCAAAATTATATTTCATGAATAAACAACACTTCAATAGAAATCCAAGCTTCAAATGTGGTTTTGTCCCAAGGAATGTGTTCTAAATATTGGCGTTTCTACTACTGCTCTTGTAGTCCAATACAGTTGGATATTTTATTTTTTTACTTGACTCATCAAAACACATAGTGCATAGTAGGCCTGTTACTTCATCTAAGGTAAC